CACACACACACACACACTCACACACACAAACACACACACACGAACACACACGAACACACACTCACACACGCACACGCACACTCACGTACACACACACACACACACACACGTACTCACACATGCACACGCAAACAGACAAAGACACACACACACACATGCATATGGAAAGGCAGTTCAACGTAGCTTACAAAATAACAAGTTTCAACCCGATAATTCACAATCTTATCCCCTTTTTATTTTGATATTTGATTATCCTTTCGCAAGGGGAGCGGTATGCTGCAATGCTGGCCGAACTTCAAATGAATTCCACCTTGGTGAACTTTGCCAGAAAAAGCCTGCTGGCGTCAGAGGGCGCGAGTGACGTAAGTGACACCCATAGACTTGAATTAATCCAGGGTGGCCGTTGCGGGTCGGGTCGGGTCGGGTCGGGTCGGGTCGTGGGCGATCGCCCGACTCGTCGCCCGACTCTTCGCCTGAAAACAAACCCGTTTGTTTTTGAGGCGACGAGTCGGCCACGATCGGCTTGAGCCACGATAGCCGCTCTGCGTCCTCAATCTGGCAAGCAAACCGACCTGAAGCGACCCGATCCCCCAATGGGTACCCCGTAACACAAGGCCTACAATAGTACCTAATTATGCATGATACAGTAGTCAATTGCCCTAGTTTGTGTTCTGTCATGGCCATACATGATACAGTAGTCAATTGCCCTAGATTGTGCTCTGTCATGGCCATACATGATACAGTAGTCAATTGCCCTAGATTGTGCTCTGTCATGGACGCCGTTTTTTGCTCCCTCAACTTCTCTCTGCTGCTATTCTCCTGGTTCTTTCTTACTGATGTCTTTCAGCCACACCCCTGAACTTACAGTAAGTAAGATCTAACACCTAGCCTTCTCGGAGAATGGCGAAAAATCTCGGAGGTACTGTGTGCGACTTGCGCACGTTAAAGATCCCTTGGCAGTTCTAAGATGTAAGCTTCGGTAGCCACCCGAGCCAAATTCCAAATTCTTACCAAAACTGAAAATACTCTAGTCAGCATAAAACCAGATGGAGAACGTTCGACATCGGAATGTGGGTGCCTGATGGCAAGGGGCATTACGATGTAAGAAAAACATCATCATCATCATCATCATCATCATCATCATCATCATCATCATCATCATCA